CAAAACTTAGCTGTTGTGTGGAGAGGGGTGAGATTCTCATCAAAACTGTGTCCACAGTCCTGCTGGGCCAGAAATCTCATTGGCTTCAGGTTTCTCCTGGGCAGGAATGCGAGTCAGAAAGTGTGCTGGTGCCTCGGGAGCCTGGCTGGGTGTTGTGCCCTCTGCAGTCACAGCAGCACAGTGGTTAAAGCCAGACTCACACTGTTCACTTGGGCTGGTCATGGTTTAGAGGAAAAGTCTGTCTGTTGGCAGCACGTCCTGGGGAGCCAATCTTTTATTGGCTCACACGAGCTTTGAGAAACAGCCCAGCTCAGTTCAAAATACTGATTACTTTTGGAAGCCTTTCTATTGGTTTAATACTCAACGTTGTCCTCCATCTCACGTGATTCATCAAGAATGGAGGGTAAACCTTGCATTTATCTTAGCAGACAATTTAGACAGTGGTATGTGATACGTGGCATTTGGAATTAGAGTCAGATTTTCATTTACTCCAGGACTTTTCCACATGTTTCCTATTAGCAGCTTTGTTCTCAAACCTCTAGTCTCCCCAGAAAGGAGGGGGGGGAGGGAAATCTCACCACAAACCCAAAAAACGATGTTAAATTCTAAACATTGAGGGAAAAAATGGGCTTCAGAACATGGTTTCATTATTTTTAGTTAACCATTGCTTTTATTATCATGTTGCTGTTAAATTCTGATCAAAATGAAATGAAACCGAACAGAGATTCATATTTTCTTTTGCCTGTTGTGGTGTGCTGCAGTTTTTCTGGATAAATACTTTTAACTGGGATTTGAATGAATATTGAATATAATTTAATGTTGAGAATTGCTGTCTTCCAGAGATAACAGCAATTGCTTCTGGGTACGTAGGTAAATGCTTTTTGAAATTACATAAAATTATGTAAAAATTGTTTAACGGTGAAGTTGCATTAGATTTGTTGTTCATACCCTGGTCTGGGTGGCTGAAATGTTTTGCCACTTTAGCAAACCAATATGAATGGTTCAAAATCTGCATATCTTAGCTTCCACACTTTTTTCTAATGATCTAGTCTGAGTAATTTCCCTCACTTTTGGGAAATGCAGGTGCAGGAATTCCTGATGGGATACTCATGTGAAACATTTTGGAAGTTTCTGCTATGTTTAAAATAGCCAGACTTTGCCTTCTTGCTTTCTTAAAGAAAGGAACCCCTTTTTGTGTCACTTATTTCGCTTGATATTTTTTAGCCCTCACTGCCAATTATAACCGAATTTGATGCAGTATGGAGGCAAATATTTATGTCCTTGTTATTAACTTGTGAAAAACAGCAGCTGGGCAGAGGAAAGTGCTCCAGAGAGGTCCTTCAGCTGAGGAGGAGACAGTCACAAACCCTTCTGCTTGGAGTGAGCGGCCAGATGGGAAGAGGGAGCAGAGTTGTTGAGTAACCCCTTGGCAGCCACAGAAGTGTTTTGGTGGGAGGTAGAAACCAGCTGGAGGGAACCTGAGGCTTGGACGGTTCAAATCCGTAGGAATCCGGCATTTGTTCATGGAATAACTTTGGGACAGCAACACTGGGGATGAAGAGGTTATCCTTATCTTTCCAGAGCAGCCCAGGGTAGTCTGGGCTGTCTTGCCATAAGGACACGTTGCTGGCTCACATTTAACTTGTCCCCTGGGACCCCCAAGTCCTTTCCTGCAAAGCTGCTTCCCGGCCATCCAGCATTCACAGTGCCCAGGGTTATTCCTCCCTAGGTACAGGACGTTGGCTTCTCTCTGCATGAGTTCCTCTTGGCCATTTCTCCAGCAGCACAACTCCAGAGGGTCCTGTCACCACCCCTTCCACTTCTGTGTCATCAGTGAACTCGCTGAGGGTGACCTGCCCTGTCCTCCAGAGCATGGTGGGCTCTTGGGTTCATTTTCCTGATCACTGGGCTCCTGCAGGTGTTGTGCTGGGCAGAGGAGAAATGCACTGTTAATACTGGACAAAGGAAACAAACAAAAAAAACCCCAGTTTTTCACCTTTTAACTTGTTCAGCAGCAAGAGAAAGAGATGATCTGTAGATTCCTTACATTAGTGTGTGGACAACCACTTGATTCTGAACCCATTTGTTAAACCTATGAATACATTGCTGTGAAGGAAATAAAGAAGACGAAGGATATGAGGTGGAATTGGATTTTGTGATGGGTGGTTGAGGGTTGCATGGAATATTTACAGAACTATTCTCCGTAAGTGTCTTTCTTGCAGAGCAAACACCTCAAACTAAAGTGGTGGGATGTGTCAAAGTTTTGGTTCTGTTTGTTTGACTTTTTAATGTGAATATGAAAGAAATCCTGTTTTATTTAATCTACGTTTTGATCTACATGGTATGTGCTTGCCACAGCTGATGGTGCAAGTTAAAATCATGATTTAATAGTATCTTTTATCCTTTAATAGTATCTTTTATCTTTTAAACTTCCTGTATCTTATTAGGTTTGCTGGTTTATATCTTCTAATGCTGCATTTTTCCTTTTTTTTTTTTTGCTGTGTTTGAGGTACTGCATTGAGCATGTTGATACTGAGCAAAGAGACAGGGAGAAGACTTGGAAAGATCAGATTAATTAATCCCTTGGTAAATTAGTGGTGTAGAGCAAGACATAGAAATCAGTGTTTGGAAGTGCTCAAACAGTACTTTAGTACTCAGACAGGCCACTCTGCTCAGTACTGGTGATGTTTAGTGGGCTCTCACTGCTCAGGAACAGTTTGTTAATTATTCTTTAGGATGCCTTTCCCCTCTATTGTTAACAACAGGCTGCCATCCTCTGGTCAGATTTGTTCACTGTCCTGTAGGGACCTGGCAGGTTTCCAGAAGAGAGAAGCCCATTCCAGTTTTAAAAGCTTAGAAGGCATAAATACTATTTTTTTTTTTTTTTATTAGAGGAATGTAGTCACTTGTACAAGGAATAAGCAGTGAGAAAAGACTGTTAAAGGGTTTATATCAAATCTCTTTTTCTCCCTCTTTCCTTTTCCTGTAACGTTTGTGGAGAATGTAAAAGTGGAGTTGATTTCTTGAGAGTTTCTCCCCATCTGCTGACACTGAAGTGCCTTGTTCTGTGGAAAGGCCACTGAACTCCAGTGTGTTATCATTAGTTAGTTACTCTTCTGTTAATTCCTTTATTTTCCATGTTCAGAAACCACTTCAAAGCAGTGTTGCAGTTCCGTGGATGAATGTTATCCGTATCCATGGATGCTGACTTAGGAAGGGTTTCTCAGTCTGAATGCAGGTGAAAAGGAAAGAGTGAGAAGGCAGGAGAGTTTTTAAGGCTTTGGAAGGAGAAGGTCAAGACTACGTGGATTTTTACCTCTTAGAACTTTGCCACATTTTTCCAGAGTTTTCTCCTTATCCTGGGACTTCAGCAGTGAACCTAAAATTGGGTGAAGCTCTTAAAAGAGTGACTGTAAAGGATTCAGAGGTTTAGAAAGCACTTGGTTACAGGGTTCCCATTGTCCACTGCAAAACCCTCAATTAGATAAGGAATTGTTTACTTTCTCTGTTGTTTTAAGTATGTGACACTGAGCTTATACTTTCAGTAAAGCTACAGAATTTGAACCACTTTTTCTATCTGTGCTGTCATGGCTGAAATGATGTCATTTGTATAGCATGAGTATTCAAGAATGCATTTAAACCAGAAATTCATATAAATGTAATGTTCTCTTATATATTCTATTTACTAGCACTGTACTTGCTCTTTGTGCTTTCAGCTGAAGACTTGACTGAAGTCCCACCTACTCAAGGTGAAAACTGTTAACTTAGTGTTCTACAAAGTAAATGAAAATTTGGAAATTTTCATCCATTTTTTCCTTCTTCACCTTCTTTAGGGTTTACTTTTGCTGCCATGTTGCTACTTGGCCACTCTTTTCCTCTGGAAGTCACTCAGATCCTTTGAGGCTCTTGGTTGGTCTCTGGCTACCTACAGATTTTCTGCCTCATCCTTTATTTGCCTTTTTGATAGTAAACTTTGTAAGCAGTGAACCTTTTGCGGGACATTAAGGACTTCAGTTTTTTTAGCTGGATATGAGAGGGCATTTATGTCAAACCCTCACTTTCTCCTTGCACAGTTGGTTATTGTTGCCAAAGCCTTGTCCCTGTGGGGTTACGAGCTGTTCTTGTGGTACTGTAAGGCAGGGGGCCTGTTGTTGAGGTTGGTGTTTGCTAAGAAATGCACTTCTAAGAAACATCTCCAGAAGGCAGGAGTGGAAGGATTCTTGGTGACCTTCAGATTCAGGGGTTTGTGTTTTGTTTTTTATTCTGCCTTGAAGTGACAGATAGAATTTCTGTTTGCAAAAACTGTTCTCCAGTGAAAGCCTCCCCTGGTGTGCCCTCCCTCCCCTCTGCACATGGCTTGGGGTCTCAACAGCTTAGTGGTGCTGACAAAATATGAAATACAAGGAGACCAAGCAGATGGAAAAAAACCCCAGATATTAGACTCGATGTTCCTTGTGTAATGTATGTAGGAATGGTAAATGCTTGAGAGGCTGGGAAATTATTAATTTCTTTGTAGTATTTTCTTCTGCAACTAGTCTGTGCCATTTCCCATAACTGCTTCAAATGCAGTACTGGATTTCTAACTTTGTGCAGTGATAAATGGTCTGTAAGGTATGTAGATGTGGGAAAAAGAAGACCAGAGGAGATATCCAGGGAACAGTCAGGAAGGTGCTTCGTTCCAGTCTCTGCATGAGCTGCCATGGGATCGATGACACAAATGCAGGTATTCTATAAGTTTATTTAATTTATTTTGAATCCCAATAGCAAATATACACTAAATATATAAAATATCCATTTTATACAGTACTGTCAGTATTGAGAATTGTGTGGCTGCCCTGCACAGGAGGGTCAGGGCAGTGAGTTCCAGCTGCTTGCGGTCGGCACTTGTAAGGGACTTACAGTGGGAGGGATTCTAAACCCGTATGCTGTCAGAATATCGAAGAGGAGAAAATAAACTGAAAAACACGATTACAGTTGTTATAGATAAGAGAAAATGTCTGTGCTGGCCTAAAGGGAGTTTAATAGTCATTCCTATTAAGCTTGAAGCGTATGATAAATCTCGAATCCTACTTTTTAATGTTCAGGCTGCGTCAAATTCTATGGAGAGTAAAACATGGAAGGACATTTTCCTCCTAAAGTTGCAAGAGAAAATTATCAAAAACTTTTCGAGGCTTTTTGTCTGTTCATCGTGTGAAACCTGCCTTTATCTCACTTAATAGATTATAAAAATATATTCTACCTTAGAGACAGCCACCTGACAATACCATATCTTTTTATTGCATCTTTGCTCATTATCAAAAATGGCACAAGAGGTTGTCCTTGAAGTCTGATTTTTTTTTTTTTTTTTCAATTTTTCTTACAGTATTTTGGGAGAGGAAAAGGTCCTTACCGTGGAAAAAGTCACTTCCACGTGATTTTTGGAATTTATTTGAAGGAAAGAATATGTCAAGACTATGTGGTTTAAGGAAAGAATTTAACATCTACACTAGGAAACGTCGAATACAGTTTCCAGTTCCACTTCCAAGAGTTCTTCTGTAAGATACAAAGAGTTCTGTTTAAATTATCCAAACGTAGGTTGAACATTGTCAAATCGTACAATGGATCCTACTTAACATACTGTTTCTAATTAATTACCTCTGACGTAGCAAATACTTTGTAAACGGTTAAATAGTGTAAAATTTTTTTGTGGCAAATTTCAAGTATTGGAGAACTGCTTTGGCCAGGTTGCTGTTGGGAGTGCCCAGCTGGGGCATCACTTGAGGAAGTTGCCCAGCTGGACGCTGTTCCTGGCTAGGATGCAGCGGAAGGTGGAGGGCTGGACCTCCCAGTACTTGACGGGGTTGTTGAAGAGGCTGATGCCGCTGTACAGAGCCTTCTTCTTCCTCCGGCCCGTCGGGCAGAAATCGTTCACCCCCAGCTTGGCGATGTGGTTGGAGTGCAGGAACACCACCTGCAGGATGGGAGCAGCACAGACAGTGTCAGTGTGCCAGTGGCATCTTTGTGAGATCACCTCACTGCAGACCGTGGTGGTCACAGGAGTTAAAAATCCCTGTTAAAGGGTTTTTAAAAATCTTCCTCCTGTCGCAGTGGAAAGTTACTGGATTCTAAACGGATTCTGTTCTTAGAGAACTTTGTCCTGAAGTGTGATTTTATGTTCTTTTGTAGGGAGAATTATAACACTGCAGTGTTATATTCTCCCAAACCTTCAGGGATTTAATAGATTTCATGAAGTAACCTCGAGAACTTGGAGGACTTGTTGGTATAGTTATAGGAACAAATCAGTCCAATGCTGATGTAGCTTAAATTAGTAAATATAAGGGCTTGTAATAGTAAAGTTTCAAGTTTAAGTGAAATAATGTACAGTGACAAAAGAGTTCTTTGTGTATCTAAATTCACGTTACATTGTAAGTTGATATTTGCATTGGTTATTTATATATATATATATATATATATATTTATCTCTATCTGAAAGTATTTTCCTTTTCCTGTGATATGAGAAGCACAAAGAAATGAAATTCAGAGAGAAAAGCTTTTGCCAAGTAGCTTATTGTGTGCTCTGTCACTTGTGCATCTCTTCATGTGTCTCCAAGCTTTGTTCTGCTCAGGGCATCTTATAAAATAGATATGAATTTAATTTTAATTGCTATTCTAGAATTCAGGAAATAATCGTGTTTTGAAAGCATTTTCTTGCCAAATCTGTCTAGTTCCAAATACAAATTTTAAAATCTTAGCTCGTCATTTCATCCTTATGAATAGTTTACTTTGGATTTAAGACTTTTCAGTTTGGGAGTAGAAAAATTTCCACTCTGGGTTGCTAATATGGAAACTATGATAAATCTGTACCAAACTTTCTGGAAACATTTTCTGGGTACAGCACATTGTTGTCCTGTTTTTTTTTTTTTTTTCCCCTCTAGGAAGTATTCCTACTGTTTGATTTTATATTTATTTCTTTAATAAGCATATTTGACTTCAGGTTTTCCTGGTTAGGAGAGTCAAGTCAAAATATATATGGCAATTAATTATGCCTTTTGGTTGTGACCTAATCAGTGTGGCAGAGTGAAAATCATGGAATCATTAGATCTTTTTATTCAGTTCAGTGTCTGACCTGCAGGTATCTCAGTTCAGGTAATCCAGGAGGAACCTTCTTCAGCTTATTTTTTTCCAGGTGGATTTCACGGATACTTGGTATGTTGGCGAAACTTCCATTTTCCACATCTTTGATTTTATTATTCCCAAGGCCCAGCCTAGAAATAGTACAAGGAACATTTAATTAAAAGCTAATTGAGATTCACAACAGCTCTGAAGAGCATTTTTTATTTTTAAAGATTGGAGTACACAGGAATGAACACGGGGCAAGAAAAGAACGGGGAGAGCAAGATGGAATCTCCCCTCTGATAGGAACAAAACCACAACTGAGCTAACAAATATTTTTTACTTCTTAATTTAATCTCTACTTTAAGGAGATTAGCTCTCATCTGATCTCAGTCTGATGTGAACAATTGTTCAATTTTACATGCAGTTTTTCTAATTATAGTTGCAAGAGTTCAAATGGTGAATAGCATTCAAGCTGCCTGTGAAATAAATCATTCCCTTCTATCAAGCAGTAAAGCCACAAAGTGTGGTCACAGTAATACAAAGTGCTATTCTAAGAAATAACCAAATAGCAAGTCTTGTAAAGGAAGTTTTTTTTAAATATATAGGTTATTTCTAAAGTAAGAAGTTTTTGGCTGAGCCAGGACTACCTTCTTTCCTACTTTCAAGTTTTCCTTAGTCAGATTTTTTGCTGTAAGACTTCACTTGTGTTGCTGGAAGGTGATTCAGAAGGTGGGGGAGCAGGTGGAATTGCTCTTTCTGCCCATCCTGCCATTCCCTGGTTCTCTGTTCTTGCATGACTTATTCAGAAACTGAACTTGGTGTCTAAAGGCAGTTCAGTAGTTCTTCTTTGGCAGCAGTTTCTGTCAGCAAATGCCACATGCAGTGCTGCTCAGCTGTATTGTCAGAGGTCTTAACTGAGCTTTAGAGAGGGAACTCTCTTCTCTAGGCCCCCATCAGTGATACATTCCTAAGAAACAGCCATTTTTACTTAAACCCCATCACATTTGGGAACAGTCACCACATTGTGTCCTTTACCAGCTACTGCATTTATGAGAATAAATTCATAAGAATGATAAGAATTTATGGTGGTTATATTTTGTGGTCACCTGCTGTTCTTATCCTACTTTCCTGTTGCAAACTGTCAGCAAAAATCACGTAATAACAAGGCTGATGTGGTCTCTGGGTTTGTTTGGGGTTTTTTAGCTTGGTCTTATTTACAGCAGTCCTTACTAAAACACTTAAAACTTTTAATTCTCTTTTCTGCTTCAACAAGAGAAGTCTCAAATCGAGGTGCTGCCAGGTGTGCCTTCTGGGTGGGAGTGTTACCTTTGAAGATCTTTGTAACGGTTGAAATCCTCAACTTCAATTCCTGTGATCTTATTGTCGTCTAAATGAAGCTCCAGGAGACTGGAGGGCAAATCTGATGGAAAACAAATGCACAGTGTGAGGAAAACAAGCCAATTTATTTTTTATTGGAATATTTATTATGTTCCAAACAGCTTCTTTCCTTTGTGTTTAGAACTGGATGAGGAGCCTTGGGGAGGTTATCTGCATCAAAGAAATGGGTATCAGGTGTTACTATGGTAATTAAAAAAAAAAATGAACATAATTTGCTTTAAAATAGTAACTTTAAAAGGAAAAAGAAATAAGATGTGAAAGTGCATATACTGATTTTAAGATTTCAGTTCCAGAATTTGGTATTTTTCCCAGCTTCCTTTATGACAGCTCTCAGTACTTCTGGTTAACTTGCCAAAGATGTAAATTGTATGTTATGTGCAGTTATCTCAGAGCTGGTAGCCAAACCCCTACTCCTGTGGAACCAGGGAGAGCTTTTTGAAGACCTGTTGTTTTTAGTCCGTGGTGTAACAATTGTGCTGCTTCAGCTGCTGGGATTGATCTGGGAGGAATCTTTCGGAATCCTCGCAGCTACATTTGATGGGCCCTTTCCCCTGCCAGAATATTTTGTGTTTCCAAAACCTCCACATCCAGAACCGCCAACGAACGGACCAGGAGGTGGGGAACCTTTCCCCTGTACCTTTTTAGGGAAGGCAAAGGAAGATCATCCCAAGTGGGAATTGCTCTTTGCTGATCTCAGGCTCAGTTTTGCAGCCTCTGTCTAGAGGGCAGCCGACACCCAGCAATCCCCGTTCCTCACGGGCTGGGAGAGCGCTGCTCCCACCAGGAACGGGCTCTTCCCAGCCTGCCTGAGTTCCAGCTGGCACTGTCCGGTGTGTGTTTGTTTGTTTGGGCTCTTTCCCAGTTTGCATTCCAGTTCCCAGCTCCACGTGCTGCTGCTGTCCGAGTTACACCGCGGAGAGGGAAGAGCAGCCCCCCTGCCCATCGCAGAGTTTGGGTGCATTTTGTGTTCCATTTGTTAAATCTCTGTGCCATTATAACAGTTGCAGACAGGAGGATGTACAGACTTAGTTTCCACTGGTGGTGAATGAGTGAAACACTGTTTTTTATTTGCTTATGTATCTGACACCACATATTGGACTTCATGCTGTGTTTCCCCTTATAGGAGATTCCTCTAAAACAAAGACATAATTGGAATAATTTTATAGGGTTTTTTGTGCTAAGTGACAAGAGGTGGCATTATGATGATAGGAGACGAATGTTTTGGGGTGTTTTTGTGCTAGGGAGCAGCCAGGTAGTGTCTGATCTTCAAGTTATCTGAACAGTTGGGGTGAGTTGGTTTTGGTTGGTTTGGGGTTTTTGTTTTAGTGTTCACTCCTACAGTGATGCTCCTGCACACACACATATATATGTGTGGGAATTCTGTATCCCTTCTGGCCCAGATCACATATCAGGGAGTTTATTCTTGTGAGGATTTTGGAGAGGCTGATGTGTGAAAGGTGGGAAATCGCATCTTATTATTAATTTCTTTGAGAGGAGTCTCTGGGTGACTCTTGAGAGGAGTGGACCCTCTGGCAGGGGAAAGGCAGGAGAGGGAGAGTGTGTGCCCTGTGTGTGCTGTTTGTGCAGGCACTCTTTTGGGATGTGGAACTGGGTACTGACCTCAAAAAGAAAAACAAGGTAGGAAGTGGCTTGGCAGTAACGAAAATACAAATCAGAACATATGAATTTAGTAATTATATACATGCTTGAGCATTTTATTTAAGAGTATGGGGTATAAATAAAATAGGAAAGGTAAAACCTACCTTTAGGAATTGAAGTTAACTTGGCTTCTGCAATTCTTATGTGGTAAATATTTACTCCTTCGAAAGCCCCTGGCTCTATTCCATTATTGTTTAGAGGATTTGCACTCATTTCTGTCCAAGGGGGGAAAAGAAAAGCATTTATGGCTCGGGAATTTTGTGAACTAATTTTATTTGTGACTTCTGATGATGTTCTAAGCACGAGTTAATGTTTAGCTTGGATTGCCTCTTCTGAGGGGTGGCAGTCACGGCTCTCAGGGAATTCAGGCTGTTTAACTTGGCTTGCAGGGTTACCCAAACCTTGACTTATGTAGCTACTTCACAGAGAATTTAAATTAGGAAAGGTATTTCCCACAGCATGGGAATATCTCTTTGGGAGGAAATTGTACACTGGGCTGAAAATTCTATATGGTAGAAATGTTTGATAAAAACATTTTTGGGAAAGACATTTTCTGTTCTACTCAAGGGGACTTACCTAAAACATGCAGAGACTTCATTCCTTTAAATACATCCTTGGGGATTTTCTTGACCTTGTTAGCGTGAATTCTGAGCTCTGCCAAAGTTCTGGGCAGATTTGTTGGGATCTCAGTCAGCTGGTTGTGGGACAGGTACAGTCGTCGGAGCCTCTTTGTGTGTTCAAAGGCTTTGGGATGGATCTTGTAGATTTTGTTATTGTTCAAAGCCAGTGCCTGGGAGACATGGGAAGAGCAGTAGAAAGATATATATATATATATATATATATATATATATATATATATATATATATATATATATATATATATATATAGGAAAGTTATGATTATGAATTTTAAGCCATGAATTTGATATATAATTTAGCAATTACTTAAAATATTTCATTTTTCCATCATACCAAACTTTAGCACTTTGGGCATTTCAGTTGCTTGTGGAAAAACAAAATAGAACCTGAAAGCTGGAGCATCATCTGGAAGGTAGAGAAAAACTAGTCAGAGCTGACAAGGTGCTGACGATGGATCATAAGAACTGGCAAAACAATATGTTTATATTCAGATATTGTAAGGGAATTTAGGGGGTTATATACTTTGTTGTTCCTTAATGCAGACAAATTCTCAAAACTGAGAACTTCCTCTTTTATTTCAGGATAACTCAGCAAAATAAAAGTCAGGCTTTTAGTCTGTGTTTCTTAGATGTTCATGTCTCTATATGACACATGAATTTATGTGTTATTTGCCATAATTTTCTCACTTCTGTGAATTTAAGTCTCTCTCTTCTGTACTGTGCACTAATCCTTTTTGGGGCAGTTTTTTGTTCCTCTTTGCTGTGTGTTATCAGAGAACTTGGAATGAGTTACTACAGGCAACAAAATACGAGTTATCCAAAATCATTTGCATGTCAAATCACATCCCTGCCTTTCCATACTCAGACTATTCATTTTTGTTCCTTTTTTACTTCTTGGAGCTGTTGGCAATTTATCTCCTCTCAGGAATTGGGGGGGGGGGGGGGGGGGGGAATAGAAGTAGAGCAAACCAGAATTAATCTTTTTTTTCCAGAAAAAAATGAGGTTAGCTTAAGGAAATAAACAGGAAATGCTCCTTCCTAATCCAAGCTGCCATCTGTGCCTTTGCTAAGCAGACTCCAAGACTCAGCCAAGTTGTACAAAGTAAACTTTGATCTCAGGGAAAATGTCATTCGCCCTGGCCACAAATGAACTGGGGAGAGAAAAAGCAAAGCAGCTCAGTTATCACATAATTAAGTGGTGACTCTGATATGTAATGTGGTGATGGCTGATGGATTCCAGTGACTTCCTCAGGCACTGGAGTTAGTTCCTGTAAGATCTTTTACACAGAATATAAACCCCAGTTTGTGTGTTTGCCCCTCCCTTGGTGAGGCCCTTCTGTACCCCCGAGACAAGGGGAGTGGGAACTGTTTTATTGCCAGCTGTGAATTTATGTGATTCTTCTTTTGTCTGCCCTGGCTGACACCATAATAATTAACAAGCTCATTCAGAACCATTGGTAAATTTTTACACCTTGCTCAGAAACCTGTGCCAGTGCCTCCCCACCCTCACAGGGAAGGATTTCTCCATAATGTATGAGGAGTTTTCATATGTTAGTTTATTGTGTGTTTCATGTCTTTCTAACTGTTGTTAGTTTGCTGTGAATTGTGGGATGGATTTGTCATTTTTACAGTGAAAATCTTAAAGTTGTCGGTGTTTGTTAGTACTGGATCTAGAGTGACTTGTTATTGAAATAAATATTCTAAAGCAGATTTAATTTAAATTTCCAGTCCTCTGAGACTCTTGTTTTCTCTCATAATAAACCAGTAACACTGTGTACTGTAAATACCTGGATTTATTTGATTTGCCAATGATATGTGTTTCAAAGCCTGTCTCTATGTGCATATGTGAGCATGTTAAAAAATTAGTAGTAAATCCCCTGACTTTTCAGTAATTCAGTGTTGGTCCATTTTCTGTTCAGGTCAATTGGATTTGTAACAATTTTCAGTGGTGTATGTGTTAATTTTCTGTTCTGTGCTTTTGAAAATATACTCAGAAATCACCACTCTAGTTCTACTGTGAGAACTAATGGTGTTTTCCAGCTAAGCAGATAAAAAAGGAGCTCTTGTCTTACAGCCTTTAAAATGTAAGGAACATTTGTGTGCACGTTAAGGACTGAAAAATCTTGGGAATCTTTTCGGTGAGATGAACGTGGTGCATATTCTGGGCGTGGTAGAAAGCAGTTCTTACAACTCAAAAAGCTGTTTGCATCTCACCACGTGGGAGTGGTCAGACACACAGACATCAGACTGTACTTTTATCTCTACCATCAGAGAAGGAAAATACCATTTCAGTGTTTTGGAAGTATGGAAACATTTCGGATTGCTGAACAAGATTTCCAGCTGGGGAAGCAGCAGCTTACATACATAGAGCGATGTGAGCCCTCGCAGGTCGTTCTCCTTGACCTCTTTAATTCTGTTGTTCTGGAGGTCGATCATCCGAGTGTCTGGGGGGATGTTGCGAGGAATTGATGTCAGACCTGTGGAAGTGAAACAGAAGAGAAATGTGCCTGGATAAATTAAACAGCAAAACATGGTGAGGTGGTTGATGGTTGTGGTGGGAAAGAAAACGTGAACAGCCACAGAGCAAAGGGCAGAAAGAGGATTTTTGGTAATGGGAGGAATTAATGATGTAAGGATGTACCACAGGCGTGTGTGGATAGTTTTGGGAGGAGCTGCTGCTGCCCCTGATGATGACAGCCTGAATAGGGGTTGCTCCCTGTTCAGTTACAAACCCACTGCAGTTCAGGCCATCTGAGATCCTGAAACAGCACAAAAGCCTCAGCAGTGGCTGTATCTTCCTTTTCAGTGGAAATACTGATGCACGAAATGCTGTGCAGCTTATTAGCAATTATTCCATAATTAATAGGCTGCAGTTAAAGATGAAGTCTATTAACATGATTTTTTCCTATGTGTGAACTGTAAAGCAGTTTGCAATCTGCAGACCAGATGCAATAACCACCGTTTGCTGGTGTCAGCAAAAGTTTATTTGGATTCCTTAATAATGACACATTTAATAACCCCAGCAGTTTCTGTGTGGACTCTGTTCCTAAGCCATGAGCAGTGCAGGGTGATGTTTAGGATGGTGGCAGGGCTGCAGTGAGAACAAATGTCATTGTCCCTGTGCTCCTGGCAGGATCACAGCCTGTGATTGCCTGGAATCGTGGGAAAACTTCAATGAGCACTAATTCAAATTGGACCAATTAATAATGAATTCCTGGTTAGGGGCTGGCATGTACCTGCAGCACGGACAGGAGCTGCTTTGCCTTTGGCTAAAGTGGTACCAGTGATGAGCACTTGAGTGGAGTGAAGTTTGTGTCCCACTTATGTTCTCACATTAAATGTCCTTGTGGTTTGTTTTTCTTTGTTTTCTTGTCATTTGACCTGTTGTTTTGTAGTTACGAATTAAATACTTCTTTTTTTGAGAGAAGGGACCAATAGTTAATCTACTGCAGACAAAACACACAGCAAATGTTTGTGCTCCCCTGTTTGGATAGAACATCATGCAAGTAAAAAAAAAAAAAAAACCGGTAGAAAGTGTAATATAAAATGTAAATAGAAGCATTTTCCTATTCTGTGATTGTTCTCTTAGTGGATAAAAAGCTGTGCAGGTTATCATGTACTTTCCCTGATCAGTTAAACACTTTTACAGTTATTTGTTACATATTCTAAATACCTTTCCATGCCCTGTTGTTATCCAGAGAAGTCACTGCTAGTGGAAAGTGGCTGTAGCAGCTTTTTCATTTTCTAAACTGGTGAACGTGGACTGGGAAAACATTCTTGTTGCAAAAAGTGCTGGACACAAATTAGATATGGTTTGCAATCCTAATGGAAAACATGTTAAGCTCCTTTTGAAAATTATTAATATGTAGAATTCATCTTTTAAAAGACAAATCCTCCAAAGGGGAGTCCAGTGCAGAACAGACACAAACTCATCCTTACCTAGGTCAGAGCAGTGGACAACCCTCACGTAGCACTGGCATCCAAAGGGGCATGTTGGGAACAGATCAAAAGGAATTAGTGGCATGATGGGTTCAGTGGTTGGAAATAGAGAATTGTCGTCGTCGTCATCATCGTCGTCGTCTTCCATGTCTTGGAGCATCATGTTCTTCAGTGTGAAATACGAAGGTCCTGTGAGAGATTTGGCAGAGCACAAAGCCAAGAAGAGAAGGAGAGTATATTCCTTCATATCCTCTTAGTCAGGGCAACCAACCTGGAAAAGGAAAGTAAACAAACAAAACCCCACGAGAATTAGTGAATATGAAAGAGTAAATAGAGGTATTGACCTATTTATTTCACTCACTGCAACAGTTTCTGGTCCTGAGAAATGGTCTGTTGTGAATATTGAGGATTAGTTACTGTATGAGGGATTAAGAATATAAAAATAGTCTTTAAAATAGGAATTATCACCATAAAATTACATGCAGTAATATTAAGTTAAATTCATTAGAGAGTAATGTAATATCAAAGTTTTTGGTTGAGTTTTACAAATAATATCATCATTTGCTTCAAGCTCTGAAGTGTAATTTTTGTAGTACGCTTTACCAGAACTCAGAATGAAATAAATCCTATTTCTTCTTGATGAAAAAGCACTTTTAATGTGGTATGTGGGCATATGTTACATTGCTTGTAAAAGTGGGATATGCTTGATTACCAATGCATAAAATACTCTCAGCAGGATAATTCCTAAACACTTCTAATTGAACTCTTTCCATTCTAATCTGGGCAAACAGTGTTTTCACTCCTGACAACAGCTTTTCCCATGTTCCAGTCATTTGTTTATTATTTCCAGTGATAAAAGTTCCCCTCTGCATGCAGCACTTTTTGTAGAATCCTGGAATCCCAGAATGGTTTGGGTTGGAAAGGACCTGGAAGATCATCTAGTCCCACCTGTGCCAGGGCCTACCCACTGTCTGAGTGAAGAATTTCTTCTTGGATCCACCTTCCAAGTGGAAAACATCCATGTCAGACAGCTACAATTATTTTTTCCTCATGTTCTTGACAAGAATGTATTCTAAAGATGATTTTTCTTGACCAAACGCTCTACAAAACTAGTCTAGGGGAAAATGGGGATAGTAAGAATTGCCATGGGATGTTTTGCAGCTCTGAGAAAATGCTGTAAATTCTGCCCCCAGCTTGACATTGTTTCCCTCCAGAGCCCAATTCCAGAAGTCATTTGGGTCTGACAACGTGCTCCACAAAGCCAGAGGGCCTGCTGTAAATTTTAACATGTATATCCTGTTTATAACAATTTTTCTATTTAGAATATCATAGACCTCTTTAGGGAAATACTAAAAGGATGTCAATTGTTGTCTGATCACCTAATTAAATTCTTGATGATCTGTTTATAGCTGAAAAATGGCTTTATGTGGGCATTTTGTCATTGGTGCTCAGTTGCAGGAGAGCTGAGTGTGCTGGTCTGTACAGGAGTGTTGGCTTATTCCAAACTCTGAGGTTTTGACTGTATTGTTTTTGGTTTTTTTTCTGTGCAAAGTCCTTTTGCTGTTCCTTGGGTATGGTTTGTAACTGCATTAAATGCAGTGCACTGCATACATTGCTGCTGCTGTAGCTGTGTCTGTTTGAGGGTGTTTAAAAAGAAAAAAAGATAATTGTTCAGATTACTTAAAAAGAATGCCGTGACTTCTTCCCCCCAAATATGTGTCTGAAAACAGGCACAATATACTTAGTAACTTGTAGGTAAGCAACATATAACTCTAAGTTTAATATTTCCATCATATCCAGGTGCCTGCTCTTTCTAGTGGTGCCTGTACTTTTGCTGATTTACCAACCTCCTGAAAGAGTCTTCACTTGTGTTTTTCCCACGTTTTCCTTGGTATTCAAAGTAACGTTCTCTTTCAATGCTCCTAGAAAGGATTTGATGGTGGTTCTTGCAATCCCATGCAATGTGTGTGCCCTTGAAAGAGTCTTTGAATATAAGCAGTGCTGGGGAGAAGGGGTGGAACCTCCTTTCCAGAGAATCGTGGTCATTTCTGGCTCTTCACCTTTGGAACGTTTGGCCTTTTCAATCTTGCATTTCAGCTTCAGAAAACAGTTAAAATCTTCAACACTTTAGTCGTACCATTAATCAGGAGCTGAGGAGTTTGAAGACTTTCAGAGTTCCAAGTTCTCCTTGTTCTTGGAAAAGTGGTTTGATGACTGAGGTTGCCCAGATGGGATCTCAGGATGGTTTTTCACCCTTGGCTGCTTCGCTATTGAGTGACAAAATCCCTGTGCTTTATTCAGTGATGTCATAGCACTTCCACATGTAGGATATCAAGCTTCATAGCGTGATCACATCTCAGGACATCTCTTTTCCAGGGCCCTGCTGACTTTTATTTGTGAGAGGCACTGCATGTATAGTTTTACCGTATCTAAAAGATAATCTCGTGCGTGTGTTCCTGAAATGCTCTTTTGGATCTGGTGCTGGGAAGTTGTCTTAGGAAACAACTTAAAAATCTGTTCCCACGCTTGCAAATGGATTCCATATTTCCTACCAGATATCCAAAATCTGTGATTTCAAACTGTTAGAAGATCGAGGTTGTGATTGGAGTAGTGGCCAATTTGAACTCTTGAAAAACATGTGTTGCTCCCAACCAGTTCTAGAACAGTAGTGTTAAATCTCATGAAAACAAGCCCTTTGCAGAAGGAAGACCAACTTGTTGTGGGATTTTTTGCTTTGTTTTTGTTTAGTTTGTTGTTGGTTTTTTTTAAGGAAAGGTTAAAAATCCTTGCTTAGTCTTTCTATTTTCCCATTAGGAAATCCTTATGATGTTTGTAGTTAGGGGTGATAATCAAGCTTGACTCCAGGTTTGCATTGACCAAAGAACTGAGTTCTGTGGATGTTTTTAAAATATCTTTTCGTGGCTGAAGTTTTGAGGTTCCCAGTAAACAGATGCTGACACATCTCTGTAGGAATGCTCTGACTCTGCAGCTTATCTCAGAGAATTCACACAAACCTTCTGCATGCTTAAACTTCAGGAGTAAGAGAATTAAAAGAAAATGCAAGCCTAAAATCCGAGATCCTGGTGATCTTGCTGGAAATCCTTACCTTATTTTATCCTGGGAATTTTATGAAATCCTGTTTCAGAAGGTACAGGCCCAGCTGTGCTAATGCTCCCCTGCTGCCCCTTGAGAGCCACTCTGCTCCCAGATACCTCCAGCTCTTCCACTCAGGCTGTTCACTGAGCTGATGGAACTCACTAAACTGGCATAAAACTCACTTGAGCACCAAAAAAAAAACCCCAGGTCGTTCTTGGTGGGTGAACAGATTGAGTGTGGAGCACCAGAGCCAACACAAAGGAATGGGTGGAACAGCCTAGTTTAGGGGGCTGGAACATTAAACATTAGGGGGCTGGAACATAAAAGCAAGAGAAGGAAAAAGGAGAGGTGGAACAGCCATTCCTGACATACAACCACCTAACCGCTGGTGTTGCTTGGACAAAGCCTGGCCTTGTCCACCCTCAATTTTTGCAGCCCAGAGCATTGAGCTGAGGGAGATTGTGGTGAATTCAGGCTTCACTGCACCTTCTTTATCACAATCCTACTTACCCTCCAGCACAAAAAGCTGCTGAGTAGCAGCTTCCCACTGGAACAGGAGCTACCCCAAGGTGAGGTGACTGCATGTGGACAGTGCACTTCACCTGGAGAGATGCTGGAAGGCTGACTCACTGTCCTGAAGCGTGTAACAATCCTAAAATCACTGCTCTGAGCATTTGGAACACACTTATCCTCACTAGTGTGGTCATCTTGATCCAAACAGCACATAGAGCTCAGGCACTTCTCATGCTGTTTAATTGTGATGTGTAACTCATGAAATGCAGGTGATATCACAATATAATTGAACAGGATTAAAACCTTTGTGAGGTTGTGTGGGAAATTCCCACGTAAGTTTGCAATGGTTCTGTGATGTGAAAATTCTACCCATGAGTTATGGGAAGGAAAACCCTTTCTGTGAGGACCAGGAGTTGTGTATTTAGTGTGGGATGAGTGCATTAAAAAAACCAAAAACAAATAAACCTGGATTCCTTGGGACTCACACGCCAGCCCTGCAGCGTGTGGCATTTGTTGTCTCAGCAGTTAGGACACAGAGGAGTTAATACATAACATTTTAAGACTTTAAAAAGACTCTAAATCATATTTAGAAATCACTTCTGTTCCCGGTGTTCAGGGACCGGTTTCCTCTGTCATTGTTTCTGAAAAGGAAATGTTTAAATGACCCAGTGGTGGTCTTTGCAGAGGCAAAGAAAAGTCTCTGTGTTCATTAATAACACAAATCACTGCTCTGTGCACAGATTTTGTCCAAAGAAAGGCAACACCATCGCTGTTTTGAAATCTATATTTAAAAATAGTTCTGGTTCTATTAGTCATTGTCCCATTCCAGAAATAAAAGGAGTTTATGTTTAACTCTTTGTCTACTCCATTGATTTACTTAAATTGTTTGAGAAAGACAGGAGGAAGTTTATTTGTTACTAAGATTAGTGAAGAAATGTTTCTGTTGCCAGAAATAGTCCAATATTGAAGTTAATAGTCATAATTAATTGGATGTTTACGAAATAAGTAGTGTTTACAGACTATTTACTTTTTATGGAAAACTGCTTGACTCTTGTTACTGAATAAGACCCATGAGCATTTTTAGGTTGTAGTTCATCTACAGTTTACTCTTTCATGGGTTGTTTTTAATTACTTTGCTGATATGAACTTTAAAAAACCACCAACTCGAATACCAACTTACAGAAAGTTTGAACACAGAGTTGTAACTATAAGAACTGCTGTCACTGTAGGGTAGATTTTCACAGATTGTTATAACTGAGAAAAGTTATTGTCAGTTGTAACATCTTTCTGACGAGTCTTAATAGTTAAATAACTCAATGTAGCTCTTTTTGTTTTGCAGCTCAGCTGTTGTACACACAGAATTATTTCAGCTGCAAAGTAAATTTTCATATGTTCCATTAAAAAAACCAAAAGTGGCATTTCTAACTGTAAATTACCTGACATTGTTAACCTGCACATAGTGACTGTTGCTTAACTCTTTAGCGCTATTTATATAAAATAGGTATTCAAAGTGGACATACCTTGCAAGTCTGGGAGTTCTTCCAGAAGCTCTGTGATAATCCACCTGAGCTCTGTATGTCCAGTTATTTCATATTAAATTAAAAAAAAAAAAATAAAAATAGAGAAAAAGGAAGTTAGACTGAGTTCTGTGAATTGGAAAGTAAATAAAAAGTAAAAAAGTCCACTTGCAAACTCCTTGATCCTGCTGGCACCGTGGGTGATACCAGAGTAAAGTGCTGCCTCAGATTAGCCCATCTTAGTACTGAAGGATGATATTAAGACGCCTTGTTACCACTCATATGTTTTTCATCACTGCCTGTATTAGAGCCAAAACTTCTGGCTTAACTCTAGACGTCTAGTGGAAGACTTTATAAAACCTGTAGTTTAATAATAGTTGACATCAGGCCATTGGAAGTACAGTGAGGTCCATTTCAGGTCATCCCCGCTGTGGAATTACAATTATTTATGATTTTGTGAGCCATTAGTCTTTGAGAAGTGTGACTTGAACAGGAGAATAAAACCATAGCCAGGGGCAGAGTAAACCAGTAGCCTGCAGTGATCAGAATGTTGCCAAAGCTTTCTGAAGTTATAAAATTAGGATTTATTGTGTAGTTTTGTGTAAATTTTACCTCTGCTTTCAGCTGACAGCCTCCTGGCTGGGGAGGGCGATTCAAGAATGTGAACTGTGGATCAGACTTTTTAGTCAGTATAGCAAATTTCTGTCTCTTGTGCATGGGAAATAAAGCATATCTTTTATCTAAAACAGACAGTGTTTGCAGGGTTCTGTGATAAGGATCGAAGTTGTGGGCTGAAACCCAAGCCTTTGAGAATTTGCCCCGTTAGAAAGTTGTGCTGACGTTCACATCACAATATTTAGAAACTGGGTTATTCTTTGTTTACCTTTGGTAGGCCCTGTTTATGTGAACTTCAGAAATGTCTGACTAATGGAGTTTACCTACAGCAAGTTTCAAAGGCGGCGAAACAGATTGTGTCTTTAAATTTACAATACATTATATCCAGTTCCCTGCGCATCTGACTTCATCTGTTTCTTTAATTAGCTCCTTTCTATGTTAAAAGTCTGGTCTTGCTTTGGAAAAAAAAAAAAAAAGCCTGGAAAATTTATTTGGGCTCTTTTTTTTTTTTTTTTTTTTTTTTTTTTTTTTTTTTTTTTTTTTACTGTACACGGTGCTGTTTGCAAAATGCCTGTTCAAATTGCATAACAGTTATTTTGTCTACTGTTGCTTTCTTAAGGCAGGGGGAAAAAAAAAAAAAAAAAGATAGTGTGCCAAAAATTAGAACTTTGGTGTTGTGATATCAGCCCAGACAAGGCTTGTGTTACCTGCAGCACTGCTTTTCTTTGCATGTGTTCCAGCTCCACTAGCACAGATGGCTGATGATGATAAAGAGGCTCCCTATCACTTTTCCCAAGGAGTAAAATTACAGTTTCAAAAGCAATCACATTCCCACACAGGAATCTGAGGCATGATCTCAAACTTCCTTGAAATCTCAAATTGCATATGTCTGCCTTCATGGAGAAACCAAAGCTTCCCAAGCAAACACTCCCCTGTGCTTTGAACAGCTCGGTTTGGATGGCTTTATTGAGGAAATTAGTGTTAAATTGCTGTTTTAAAAAAAACCTCCAACACTTTCTTGGCTGTTCAGTCGAAGAGAGCGGGGCCTGAGGGTTGTAATATAAATGTACTGGGCTCTCTTTTTCCCTGCTTTCAGGAGCAAAGTGTTGAATCAGCAGTTCCAGCTGACCCTGGTTTGCAGCAAGGCTCCCTCTCAATTTTGGATGAATACTCGGGGGTTTTTTTATTATTATTTTCTCCTTGCAGTTTATTCTGGTGGTAGGAACACATTCCTCTGTGCATAAAGTTTGTCATAGACGGTTACATAATGAAAGGGATACACATAGTGGTCGGATCTGGAAAAAATGTTCCAACCTTAAAATGGGTCATCCATATATTTTGTGTGACATACAGGATCAGTATGGTAGAAATAAATGTTGCCTTGCTGGTCTTTAATGAAACTGTTTGATGTTTCAAGACTTGGATCGTGTATTTTGATTGGAATGTAATCGCAATCTCAGATAAAATACCCAGAAATCACATTTTCAGGTCTCCTCTCTACCTGATTCTGATCTTTAGATGTTACCTCTTGATAGCAATACTAAAAACTAAATTAGGCCAGTGGTTCACAATGAGCCTGTTCTTTTATTTTTAATGCCATTAATTTATTTCCAACGTCACAGTGTTTTAATCCATGATGTTGGGGGCTTAATGAAAAGATACTCTCAAATAGTAGCCTGAGGGTATTTTCTTTGCAAGCAAACATCTGTGTATATTCCTATGACATGTTTAAATAACTAAAAATTATGAGGTCAGACTGTTTGCTCAGACCTTTTCAGTGATTTCTGTTTCCACCAGTGAAAGAATTGGTTGAAAACTAGAATTCTACCTCACCTGAAAATAGCCCACAGTTTGTGGAGGTGAATTTCTTGGGCAATGACAGGAGCACATCCGGCACGTTGTGGTTCACAACAGCCTCTCACTCTGGTGAAATAGGAAATGAAAAAGCATTCAGATGATGTTTTATACTGACTTTTTGTATTATCTCATCAGTGACATAAAATGCTGCCTTAAAATGCCTGTATTTGTATCCCTGCCCGTGTCTGAGGCAGCCACCATGTGCTGCCATATGTGGCTTGTGCTTACCCTGCAATCTGAGCCGGGCTTGTATATGTTTGTTATTCTAAGGCAAACGAAGCCCTTTCTCGTTTTGCAGCAGTGTTTATAAATGTGGTTTACATAAAGTGATGAATCTGAGACATCAACTGCTCAGATCTGCCCTGGCCACTGCCCACCACATTTTAACGCCATGACCTCTTCCTTTCGTGCTCGCAGCCGCTCCATGTGCGGAGCGCTCACATACTTTGGTTCGAGCTCAGTTTTGGCTCTCCCCCAGCTGCTGGACCACACCACCGAGCCAGCTGAGTGCATCAAAACTGCTCTTCAGCTTCTGGGGTTCATCTTGCTCCTTCAGTGTTTACGTGGAGATATATTATTAAAAATAATTTTTATGTGTTATCGCGCACAGATCAACTTTTGCGTGTAAACAGACGGGTATTTTTTTTGCCTGTTTTTGGCAGCTGACTTAGAAACTGCAGCAGAACGTAGTTTCATTTTGCAGTCCAAGTCCTTAGTCCCTGATGTTTATTAGCAACAGAGCAGCATTGAAGGGCGGGTCAGAGCTTGCAGTGTTGAGAGGCTGTGGACAAAAAGAGCTGTAAATTCAAGTGTTCGTGTCCATATATCTGTGTGATTGTCACAGGTTATCACGTGTTGTATGGATGCAAGGAGATGGAATGACTGGAGAGACAAAATAGTCACAGAAGAAATATCTTATTTTTTCCCCCCTTGCAGGGAGTTTGTGTTGCCTTTGGGCAGTAAGTTGTGTTCTGCCTTAGGGTACAAATAAACACCATTTTCTCTGTGTGGAAATGCCCATCTCAGAAGTCCCCAGGGAGCTTATTCCCACCTCGATGCTTTTCTTCCTGGTCCTGTAAAAAGCTTTATGCACCAAACTGGATCCGGAAACTGCTCTGCCTGATCAGTGAAGGTCTTGAAATAGTTTTGGTGTCTCTACATGTCAGTTATTAGTCTTGCTTGTGATGCTACTCACAAGTTTGGATAATGTTAAATGGCATTTTTATGGAATATGGGTATTTATCTGCCTTAGAGACATTGGAAACACCAGACATTCTTTCATGGAAAATCAAACAGTAGTTAAAATGAAAAACTCTGCAACCAGTGCCAAACTACTGAATCACTCCAACAATAAGTTCTAAAGGAAAGTTTTCTGTTCCGGAATACAAGCTGGACTGAGAACAACATTTCCTCATGGACTATCAAGGATTTACTCCGCCAGAGTTGAACAGTTCTTTAAAAAAAAACCCCAAACCTTGATCACCTGCATATGTTGATGTTTCCCTTTGTTTTAACAAACAGTATGAATAATATGGAAGTGTAAATTAATGCACTTTCTTACACTGTCTTTGGCTGGATTCATATTGTTCAGAACATAAAGGCAATGTTTAAAATGACAACTGTCATCAATTTCCAGTGAGTTATTAGTTTAAAAAAAAATATGTGTGGTCTTCCAGTCCTTTGTATTCCAGGAAAAAAACACCTGAAATATTTAGAGTATGTTAGACTGAAAAAATAATTGAATTTAATTCGTTATTACATTTTTTCCTAACTTTACTTACCCACAAAACTAATTTATATTATTATTAGAAATTCCAAGAGCCAAAAGAAAATCACTTTGATTCAGTTTGTGATAGACCGTTGGAAATGAAAGCAGCGAATATCACATTTTTAAAATAGAAGTGCACACTTTAGTTAAATACTATGTCCAGTGAAGAACCTGGGTCCTTAAATGGTTTGCATGTGCTTTGAGCATCTCTCTTTTGCAGATGGAAAAAGTAACAAGATTCCTTGGAAGTTCCCCAAATGCAATTTGTTTGCAAGGTTTGAAACACGCGATTTGTTGCTCTGGGATAATTGAAATGAAAGCATTCAGAATCATGAGTAATAAAAAGAAGGCTATTATTTCGTTAGAGAAGTCATTTCCCTACCATGCTAACTAACCCAGCCTGTGTTCAGATGTGTTTCGTCCCTGGGAATTTTGTGGGATGGTCTCATTTGTTTTCCATCATCACAACGGCAGGAACTCTGTCGTGCGAGGTTGGGTCCAACCCTAAATACTCCCAGTAAATTAGGACTCTTCTGAAAAAGTCTGTTTTAATTATAATTAACCACGGCTGGTACAGTTTTGATATTATTTTCTCATAACTATGCTACTATTAAATTATAGGTACTGCGTAATCTATATTATATCTAAATCTTCTGCAGTTTAAAGCCATTCCCCCCATCTGCCCATGTAAAAAGTTGCTTTACATCCTTTTTTTTATGAAAAATGAAAGAAATAAGGAGATGAAAACTTCTAAACTAAGCTAAAAGGCAGTGTAGAAACCCCCAGAGAAGTTCCAAGTTCTTGGGCAGATATCCTAATGTACTATTCCTGAAGGTATTTGTTTGGAAACACTGGATTCTGTTCCTCAAGGAGCTTTGCACTGTGGACAGTTTTGCACTGCTTTTTATCATGGACAGAAATTCGCTGGGTGACAGAAGTGGCTGTTACCACTCAGTGGAAATACTTCTGTAAATTGAAAGAAAACATATGTCATAATTGCATGTGCTGTGGAAAATGAGATCTCTTTGGTAGGACAGTTTGTAAAGCAGAG